CAACCTAATTAGACAACACACAAACATAACTCTGAAAAACCTAATCTGAAACGGGTAACATTCTTGGATTTTATGTTTCAAATCATTAATCTAGTATTGACATAGAAATCAAGCTGAGTGGGTTTAATAGCTTGCGAAGGGAATGCTTGTCAATTTTTAAAAGTGACTTATGATGGATTTTTATGGCAAAGTATACAAAATGGATGCAGTCCAGATCTCAGTGAGAATCTTTTCTTCTCAAATGCTCAAAAAGTGCAGGTAACCAAATAATAAGAGGGTAATATTTCCTGCTGTCAGAATGCCTGGTTGCAATGAAGAGTCAAGTGCAAGTGGAGGATTTTAACAATGAGACTTGGGGGCATTGTCATTTCTGGGGAGGTCTTCTTCGCCAATGGGGGATGTCAATGGCAAGGCCAGCATTCGTTGCCCACCCCTAATCTCTCTACAGAAAGTAGGCAAGAGGAATTCTAGTGGAGGGTTTGATAGGTGGATCTATAAGATCACTGAATTTCTTTTATACTGCTGTTACATGTGTGAGTTATAGCAGCAATTTTGAAATCCTTTAACCCTGGGAGCAAATAATAATGGAGCTTGAGGACTGAACAGCGGTGAATCCCTTCAATGTTTTAGCAGCGTATGTGATGCCACTTTAGGATAAAATTGCACCAGCACCATGTGCTTATACTGCAGCATAAACTCAAATTAATTCTATTACCTCTACTTAGGCTGAGGATAGCTTTTTACAATATGACCACTGCTCCTATCAAGTATCATGTGATAGAAATGCATATTATCACTGTATCCAGTTGGAAACACAGAGGGTGTAAAAAACTTCATGCTTGAATTGCGGGTGTGCTGTTGTGTCAGGTGAAGCTGTGCTTTGGTGTCACTAATTCTTAACCTTACAAGCAGCAGTACTTTTATTGATCTAACACTTTTAAGCAACTCGAAGAATCTTCCCAAGGATTTTCATAGAAGAGTAAGCAGAAAAAAAAATGTTGACATTAAGCCAAAGAAGGAGATTTCAGAACAGGTTACATAGCTGGATTTTATGGAGCGTCATAAATAAGAGAGAGAAGCAGAGGGTTCAGAACAACTATTTGACCAAACTCATTTGAATGATAAGTTATGCTTTAAGTTTGCCCACCAGAGGATGTCTCGTCTGTTCGAGCAAATAAACAGCACCACCTCGACCACCAGACTTACTGAACACCACCCACTGTGTTATGACAGTGGAAAGCCAACATCTTGACTCATGTCATTAACAGGTCTGATTACAGAGCACATCAAAGTGTTTTATTAACAATAGACTACACACAGCATCCAGTCATTTGGATTTTGCACATGAGACAAACATGTCACAATATTTGATTTTAAGGCATTCCTTCACACAAAGACTAGTACCTGCAGTGGCTGCATTCATTCACAATTTCAAGGCTGAGATCAAGTTTTCTTTCAGTTAAGGGTATCAAAGAATATGAAGATCAGTCCAGATCAACTATGACTTAACTCAATGACAAAATAGAATTGAGGGACTGAATGGCTTACTCCTACAAATTCCTATCCCTACAAATTCCTATCCCTAAAAATTCCAGAGTCAGGTCTCAGCATTGCCATCAAGTATAAATACAATGTGCACCCTAATAAAATTGGGATTTAAACAAAAATGACAGTAAAGTTGTAGCCATAATTGGTCTTCCTTTTGTCTGAAAAAGCATTTACAGGTGATCTTTTGCTTATAAATAAATAAAGCTATAGAGTGCTAACAGAAACATGTTTTGCCAAATCTATTTAAAACACTGGTAAGGTCCCAACGAGAGTATTGTAATCAATTTCAGGCACCAAACTATAGATAGAATGTCAAATCCTTAGAGAAGGTACAGAGGTTTACAGGAATGGTACCAGGAATGAAGGACTTCAGTTATGTAAAGAGACTAGAGGAAGTGGAGAAGATATGATTAATAGGTAATTTGATAGACATGTTCAACATCATGTATAGTTTCAATTAAGTGCATAAGGAGAAATGATTTCCAGTAGCAGAAAAAAAAAGTAACTACAGGACACAGGTAAAAAAATACATTAGCAGAAGAACCAAAACAGCATGTAGAAAAATAAATTGCACGGCAAGCTTTTATAAATTGGAATGTACTGTCAAAAAGAATGGCGAAACAGATTTAATAATAATTTGCAGTGGCAAAATATGCAGGGGTTCTTGGACAGATATAAAGCAGGACAGAGATTAGCTGGAAAGCCTTTACAAAGAACTGGCACAAGGCACTGTGCTCAACATGGTCTCTTCATTCTGCCTAATTCTATATTGACAGCGTACAAAATGTGATAATGTTCTATTTTCAGGGAAATGATTCACAGAGGGAAAAGCAGAAATGTATGGCTTGCCTTCACCACTGGTTTTAGAAAACAGTCCTATGTTGCAAATTCCAGCTTTTTTTTAAACAAATGTATTATTTAACCATTCTAGTAGCTCCAGAGTACACACAGAACCTCAGAGATACCCGAAACGTCAGCTTTCCTGCTCCTCTGATGCTGCCTGGCCTGCTGTGTTCCTCCAGCTCCACACTGTGTTATCTATATACAGAACCTATTGTGTGTGTGTGCGTGCGTGCCCTGCCTTTGGGAGCATATGGCGGTCGTGGAGACATTTTTAAAAATGCTGGGAGTTTCTCACTATCATGCAGATTTAAGGGGAGGCAATGGCCAAGTGGTATTATCATTGGACCATTAATCCAGAGACCCGGATAACATCCCAGGGACTTGGGTTTGAATCCCACCATGGCAGATGGTGGAATTTGAATTCAATAAAATATCTGGAATTAAGAATCTAATGATGACCGTGAATCCATTGTCAATTGTCAGGAAAAACCCACCTGGTTCACTAATGTCCTTTAGGGAAGGAAACTGCCATCCTTCCCTGGTCTGGCCTACATGTGACTCCAGACCCACAGCAATGTGTTTGACTCTGAACTGCCCTCTGGGCAACTAGGGATGGACAATAAATGCTACATAGCCAGCAATATCCTCATCCAGTTAATGAATAAAGGAGATTGACACAATAATTATAGAAATCTAGTGCGATCGCAGAGGGCTACACCATAAAAACAGGCCCTTTGGCCCAACTTGCCCATGTCACCCAGTTTTCACAATTTAAACTAGTCCCATTTGCCTGCATTTGGTTCATATCCCCACATACCTATCCCAGCTATGTTCCTGTCTAAATGTTTCATAAATGACAAAATTGTACTCACTTCCATCATTTTACACTATCTCTTTTTGAAGGCAGCCTTGAGGAGAAGAATGTAATGAAGAGAATAGAGATTCAAAATAGGAAAATGAGTTATCTCTACACTTCATTTGCACCAAGTTAGTTGTGATAATTTATTATGCAAGGGTGGCTTGTACATCCCAGAGTGCCGAGAGTGATAAAGTAGATACATTCTATGATGTGTGCCATATTTATTTCAGCTTTTAAACTTAGAGGTCTTTGGATCATTTTGACCTTACTAACCTGTTTTTTTGTACCATGATATGTGTTGAGATGAGGAAACATAGATTTATAAATGCCCAGCTGTTCCCATGTACTGTTTCAGCGGCTGGAGGAAAATGTTGCAATTATATTTCTGATTACATAGCTCAATAACAAACCAAACTGGCATCTCTGATCCCTCTCCCTCTCCACAGACGCTGCCAGGTTTTTTCAGCAATTTTTATCGGTGTTCTAGTTCCGCTTAGTGTATCCGCTGAAGTTGCAAGGAGCTGGGGTAGTAGGAACTGCAGATGCTGGAGAATCTGAGAATAACAAGGTGTAGAGCTGGATGAACACAGCAGGCCAAGCAACATCAGAGGAGCAGGAAGGCTGATGTTTCGGGCCTAGACCCTTCTTCGGCTGATGTTTCGGGCCTAGACCCTTCTTCAGAAATGCTCCTCTGACGCTGCTTGGCCTGGTGTGTTCATCCAGCTCTACACCTTGTTATCTTACAAGGAGCTGGTCTGCTTTCAGTTTCTGAATAGCTCCCTCTGCTGCATTGCCGTGCCATTGATAGGAAATTCCTGTTTTTCAGGTCACCAATCATGAATGAACAATTAGTGGCTCATTTTTGGGGGACTTTCTCTCTCTCTCTCTGCTATCTCGCTGCGTGCTCGTTAACATCTCGTTTACATAAAAGATTTGTAACAAATGGATTGAGGGATTATCAATCTCGGCCGTTCAAACCCTATTGCATGTCGCGGCTCCACTATTGACTTCAGATAGAAATACTGACAACTAAAGCAGCAACGCGGTTCATGTTCCTTTTTTAATATAACCATCGTACAGTCCCAGTTATTGTGTCGAAATGAAACAAGGACTGGTGTTTCTATTGTATCCCTTCCAACTATAAATCATTTATTCAGAGAGTGATTAACTTTTGTAAAGAAAATGTTGCATTCTCTAATCATTTCCATCAATAAATAAATGGAAGGGGAAACAGGTTTTTAGACTTGGCTACAAATACAATAAATTTCAGCTCTCCATGTAACTTTACCACACCCGAACACATGTACATTGTTCAAATTTACATTCCTACTTAAACAAAGTCTATCCTCGTCCTCCAACGTGGGGCTTGTGTTTCTGATCATGAGCCCCGATCCAGGCTGGTTCTAGGCTAAGATAACACCGTGTAGAGCTGGATGAGCACAGCAGGTCAGGCAGCATCAGAGGAGCAGAAAAGCTGACGTTTCGGGTCCGGACCCTTCTTCAGAAAAATTCTAGGCTGTAGATTGTTGCTGCTTCTGAAGAATGCGGTGATTTGGAAGCGGACAGATCCTTTCCTCCCAGGCACTGTACTTTATCTGGCTGCTGGGAGCGGACTGTACGCTTTAAATCACCGCAGAGACACTGGGAAACCAAAGACGCGAAGACTCACCCCACCTCCCCCGCCCCAAAACAAACACACACACATAGGGGGCACATATCAGATAAGCATTAGAAGCGGAGCACTCGCTAACAGAACCACACACACACACACACTCCAGGCAGATACAAATACACTCAACAACTCTACAAAACCTATTCAGACATCGCCTCCCACTCCAATTACACACCCACCCCACCCCCCTCGGCCCCTGTAAAATGAACTCACAAACCACATGGAGAGCAAACACACAGAGGCTTACGAAGGCAGGAACTCACACCCTGAGACAGAGCAGCACATCAGCAGAGAAACACACACACACACGCTGTGAAAAAGGAGAGCCAGGACTGAGCTGAGCTCAGAAGGACACGCAGTTCTAAGGAAAGGTCATCGACCTGGAGGGTTAACGCTTTCTCTTTCCAGCCAGATGCTGGCCAGACCCCGCTGAATACCTCCAGCTCCTTGCCTTTGGACGGGAGCCGCTCGTTGCGGACACTGGGTTGAGTTCCGAATAGATCACTGGAATTGGAAAGGTGCGCTGAAAGAGTGGAGACATTTGTTTTGTTAACGCCAAGGGGGGAGGGCAGCTTTGGGGGTGACTGGGTGACGGAGACACACAGCTGGCCGGCAGTGAAGCAGGAGCAGCGCCTAGCTGCCTTCCCGGAGAGAAGCGGCAGTGAAGAGGGAGAGAGAGAATCCAGCGGCTGGCCCAATGCAGAGAGCTTCCCAGGGAAGGGGCTGAGGGAGTGCAGGCAGGACAGCTCTAGCTGGGCGGATTCAGGATGCCTGCTCCCGGGGACGGTGAAGCAGTCACTATCACCCCTTCCCTGGTTATCTACATCGGTGTGGAGGTGCTGATCGCTGTAGCCTCGGTGCTGGGCAATGTGCTGGTCTGCTGGGCGGTCAGGATTAACCGTGTCCTTAGAGACACCACCTTCAGCTTCATCGTCTCGCTGGCTCTGGCTGATATCGCCGTGGGTTCCCTGGTCATCCCCCTGGCCATCACCATCAGTATCGGGCTCCACACTCACTTCTACAGCTGCCTGCTCTTCTCCTGTACCGTGCTGGTTCTCACCCAGAGCTCCATCCTTGCGCTTCTCGCCATCGCCATCGACCGCTACCTCCGGGTCAGGATCCCCACCAGGTAAATGTTCACACCCCCCCTTGCAGCATAGCTTCCCCCTTATACACACCGTGTGCGAGCTAGGGGAGCACTTGTGTGCAGCTTCAGGTTGGAAACATCAGTAAGGAGATATGTCCTTCAGCCAGTGTTACAGCAAGGACATTAGTCAGGCTGAGTGAAGGCAGTATTTGGGCGCTTGGAGAAATGACTGCGGCTTTCTGAGCAACTTCTCTCATCCCCACAGTCCCTGCTCACCCAACGCAGTGCAGGTACTGAAAACAGCATCGTCCGTCTTACTATTCCCTTACTGTGGTTCGTTTTCAGCTCATCTCTCTCTCTCACAGGGTGGGTGTGTGTGGTGTGTGTGTGTTGGCATTTCTTCCCCAGGCTGATAAGAGTCACTGTTACAGCAAGCTAGTTAAAATGAAACCTTTAAAACGACTTGTCTGCTGAAAGTGGTTGCGTTGGGCATTTTAATGCGATGCATGACACCCCAGGGGAAGCCAACATTAGACCGAAGCGATCAATTAACAGAGAGCCAGTGTTTAGTTCATGCACGTTACAGGGTCAGGGAGTGTCTTAGTCCCACTCAGTTCCTTGTCAGGGTCAGGTATTAATATAGCCAATCCGGTCTGCTGCACTTGGAGGCATTTTCCCGTCTTAGTTTCTCCAATATTTGGGGGCAATGAGACGATGACTTTTGCAGTTTTATTCACTAAGATATCCCTCTATTTGCAATAGAGCTCCTGACTGGTTTATGATGTTAAGAACTAAAAAAATGAACCTCAGCTCGAGCTCACGTTTAAAAATCAAATTTCCCAGCAGGGCTAAGCGAAGCAGCTTAGGACATTTTATTACATGGAAGCCTTTGTATTAAAAAAAATGATATTGTTGTAATTTACAGACAGGATTTTTTTTACATAGTACATATTCCGTCTATTTTTACTCTCCCAGGTAATTTCAGACTTAGCAACCATTAAGGAGCATGTTTACCTGCTGCAATATGAGCCAACAGCAAAGGTAGTCTTGCCACCCAGTGTTCCTAACTGTGAACCAGACTCCCCAGGTCCAAGTCCCACCTCAGGAGTTGATGACTTTACAAGGTGATATAAAATAACCAAACAGGTTAATTGCCAATCTTTAAATCCTTCTGACAGGCAGTAAGAGGAGGATAATTTTGTGGTAAGCTAGAGCCATGTGGTGTACCAGCAGTGCAACCACCTCCTCATGTTAAAAGATTTTATATGTAGGTTTCTGCCATTAGGAATTGTCAGCCTCATTCCAAGGGACAACTACATGTACATAAAATAAAATAGAATGACCCTTTTTGATTTGCTAATGATATGGTATGTTTCTTAGTTCTGGTAAGGGTGAGGCAATAGCCTAGTGGTATTATCTCTAGGCTATTAATTCAGAAACCTTTGTAATGATTCGGGAACTATGGCAAATGGTGGAGTTTGGATTCAATAAAAAGTTTGGAATTAAGAGTCTAACGATGACCATGAAACCAGTGCTAATTGTCAGAAAACCAGGGAAGGAAATCTGCCATCCTTTCCTGGTCTGTGATTCCAGGCCCATAGCAATATGATTGACATTTAACTGCCCTCTGGGCAAATAGGGATGAGCAATAAATGCTGGCCTGGCCAGTAATGCCCACCTTCCATGAATGAATAAAAAAGGGTGAATGGGTGCAACCACTTGATGAACACTGTGACATAAACACAACATATGGAAATGAATAAAACACCTTTAGTATATAAAATATTGGAGACTAATCAAACCATATATTTTGAATTTGGGAAATAAAATCTAGTTTTGGAAATTAAATCTAAATATAGGGCCTATTTACCCTAGAATTGATAATACATGCTCTACATTACACACAGGGAATCAAGATCAAGTTTAGTCTTCAGCTAAAGTGCAGTTATAATGCAAGGGATACTGAAGCCAGGGTGAACAAAAGTAAGTTGCCATTTATAGTTGAACAGCAAGTTGTACAGTGATTTGGGAAGCAGAGAGGTAGAGACTGGTGATGCTTCGAGGTGTCTCTACTATATAAGTCAAATGGCTGGGGATAAAGTGAGATGCTGAAGAATGACCAGACTAGAATTAACAGATGACAAATTTGCTTAGGCAGCTTCCATTGCCATGGAAATTACATGGAGATGTAATATCTTTAATGTGTTCCATGAGCTGTTCTCCTATGGCATAGCATGTGGTAAGATAACACCAAGTGCAGTCTTGAGGTAAAATAGGACTGGAACCTAAGGGATAATTGTGGAGGATGCACATGCTTATAACAATCTCAATTCTATAACAATATACTCCATTCTTTTCATACTTCCCTTGTAAATTCCTGTATTCCTCTTTTTATGGGCATGGGAGATATGGTAAGATAGATTCCCCTTGTTTCCACCTTTCAGTTATCGACAGATATACTTTTAATAAAAGTGAATCCACCCAACCACCCAGAGAATTATATCTCAGCAACAAACAAATCATTTTTTCTAAGAAACTTAGAGAGGAAGAATAAATGTTTGTCACTTAACCCAAAATGTGTTCTCAACAGCACATACACAACTCCATAGATACACATACATCTACAAAATAAAAGATATTTTTTACAAAAATTCTTAGGCCACATGAAATTTTGAAACATTGCAGGCTTATGATTCCTTTTTACTCCACTGAAGAAATAGATTTTGGAGGTTGATGAAGATGGATTTGCAGTAATTTATTGCATCCAATGGTGGGTTTCTCTGGTCTTATTCTAGTCAAGGTGCATTCAAACTCCTGCAATGAAAAGATAGGTAAAGGCTAGCCCATATTTCCATGTGTCCTGGTGGATTTTATGCAGGACTCCTTGCCGGTCTGGAATGTTTCCTCATTCACTCTGTGTAATGCTCCCAAAAATTATTAACCGTTCTCTATCAAAAACCTGGTTCCTGTCACCTTTGTTTTCCATCGTCTTCACAAATGATTTCTGATGACTTGGTATTGACAAACAGTGTGTGCAACTTCTATCCACAATGTGCTGATAGAATACTTTTTGACAGAGATATTTTTTTCCACACCCATTCTTTGGAATTCCTGTCTGAAGCCAGGAACGTGCAAGTCCATCGTAAATCCATTTCTGTAGCTTTTTGGATAATGGCAGCAATTAATTCTCAGCAAAGGTTTGTTGCATTTTGTTGCCTTCTGAGTGAAATATCCAAACATGCAGGCTATCTCAAGGGTCTTCTGTAGTTCCATCTATATTGTCAGAAAGGAAAGAAAGGGTCACCTTAACACTCAGCCCCATATTGTTTCAAATGCAATATGAAACATCCTTCATTTTGTTTTAAGTAAAATATCTATTTTCATTAAGTCTGTGGGCCCATACCACATCAGCACAGCACTGTTTATAATGGAGAGTGCCTATCTAAAGTAGGCACATTGTAATTATATCCTCCTCTTTCAAATGGTTTTGCCTCCTGTTGAGGGCGGGTGCAGCTCTTTACATCAAAATTTTTAAGTTATGAATGTAGAAAGAGAAAATCAAAATGGGAGAAAAAGTTTCATGTCCAACCACCTGTAGGATGTTTAATATAGAGTCATAGAACTGCACAACGCAGAAACAGACCCTTTGGTCCAACTCGTCTATGCCAACCAGATATCCTAAATTAATCTCGTCGCATTTGGCCCATATGCCTCTAAACCCTTCCTGTTCATATACCCATCCAGATGCCTTTTAAATGTTGTTATTGTACTTCCTCTGGCAGCTCATTACATACACACACCACCCTCTGCATGAAAAAGTTGCCCCTTAGGTCCCTTTTAAATCTTTCTCCTCTCACCTTCAAACTATGCCCTCTATTTTTGGACTCCCCCACTCCCGGAAAAGACTTTGGCTATTCATCTTATTCCATGCCCCTCAAGATTTTATAAACCTCGATAAGGTCACTCCTCAGCCTTCGACCCTCCAGGGAAAATCGCCCCAGCCTATTGAGCCTCTCTCTATGGCTCAACCCCAGCAAATTTCTTGTAAATCTTTTCTGAACCCGTTCAAGTTTCACAACATCCTTCCATATAGCAGGGAGAACAGAATTGCACATAGTATTCCAAAAGTAGCCAAACCAATGTCCTGTACAGCTCATATGTTACATTATAGACAGAAAAAGTCCTTCAGCTCCATTTATTTATAATATACTCAGCCGAACGGAACAGTAAGGCATACACTCTAACATTTTCATGTATTTTGTTTGAGCTTTCCATGACCTCAAACCTTGGCCAGAATCATCTCTTTGGTTCTTTAAAACAATTTTCTACAAGATAGTGGAATAGCTGCTTTGATAGAATAGCACATCACTCTTTCATGCCTGGTTTCCATCCCAGACAGATGCATTGAAAGTTTTATTTTCCTTGGCAGTTACTAAAATTTTAATTAAAATTAATTATGTCAGTTTTGATTCAGCTCACAACACAAACTGCTGTTGATTTGGCACTGCTTGCAATTAAATTAGTTTCACTCTAAAAGATACTACAAAGGTGAATTGTAAAGAGTTGGAATTATGCACCAGTGCAGCATGCATGGTCTCTTCAGGTTATTGGTGAAGCCTTTAAAGGAAGTTTTAATGTGAATCTAAGTAGTTAAAAGCTGATCTCAAGTTTTTGGTAATGTCTGTGGTAGCAACAAAAGAGTAAAAACACTGCTCTAATTATCTTTCACCACAATGAAGAAATAATTATTTTCTTTTAATTTTATTAGAAGAAGTTTGCACTGATTTTATATGCAGTTTCAATCATCTGCTTCCACAGGGCTGATAACAGCAGCAGAAAGGAATAAAGTAGCTAAAGTGAAGATATACAAGTGGAGTTTAAGTGAGGGCTACAGTTATGAGACTTAGACTCTTAATGTCAGATTGCACTAAATTTCAACATTTATACTGTTACAATTAGGTGAGAACTAGCTCTTCTCTTTTCGACCTCTACAGGTGATGACGACAAATGTTTACCTCTCTCCAACAAAACTGCATCTGTTT